TTGTATATCTCCTTCCAGATTTTTGAGTGTTTATTTACGCGTTCGTTTCTTTGTTCGTTTTATATACAATAATAAAATAACTTCTCATGTTACTACCAATAACGTGAGTTAGGTACATTTGGAGCTTCCCAAATGCATTTCCCTTTCTTTTCCCTAATCTGCGATCCTTGCTGACTTGCCTCAGTAAGATTTACTCACAGCCCTGTCTATATTTCTTTATCTTGCCTGTGCTTGTATAGTTGATTAGTCAATTTTTCCTTTATAGTTTTGCCATATACATACACAGTTTTTAAGCTTCCTGTAAATGAATCCCCATTCTGATCTTCTGTGACTTCCCTTTTCTGCCTAAAATTAAGTTTTTGCTATTCAGACTCATCTTGAAATATATGACCACAATTAATTAGTTTTTGCTCTTGGGTAGAATTACATTGTATAAAGATACTACAATTTATTTTTCTATTCTGTTATTGATGGGCACTTGGGTTGTTTCCTGCCCCTTGTTATTGCAGGAAATACTACTGTGGAACTTCTGTACATCTCTTCTTGTTCATATACACAATAGCTTCTCCAGGGGACAGTCTCCAGAGGGAAATGGCTGCTTCGTAGAGTTTGTACATCATCAGTTTCACTGAGCAATGCTAAATTGTTTTCCAAAATTGTTTTATTCTTAGTGTCTGAGAGTTCCTATTGCTCTGTGTCCTTGACAACACTTGGTATTGTCAGAATTTTTCATTTTAGCAATTTTGGTGGGTGAGGTTAGGTATGTCATTGTGCTTTTAATTTACATTTCCTAATTACTGTGATTAACCATATTTCCATATATTTATTGGCAGTATTATTCCTATCCTGTAAAATGCCTATTCATGTTGTTTCTTCATTTTTTAAACTATTTTTGGATTCATAGGACTTATTTATATATTCAATTCTCTCTGTTTCTGTGGATTTCTGTATCTATCTATGCATCTGTTTACCTAAAACTGTACCTTCAAATCTGACAGCTTTTAACAAGAATAATAACCTACATTGGAAATTGGTCTAGTTACAGGGTCTTAAGTAACAAATATTTTTATTCCCTTTACTCTGATTTTCTAAAGAGCAAAACTAGATCCCATATCAGGCAAACAATGATTTATCAAGTGGAAAAAAGCCCTCCACTACTGTTGTTTTTCACTTCACTACTTGGGAGATTAGAATAATGAATTTTTGTTTCTGGATAATTTTTTTTCAACATTGAATTTCAGAGGGGAAAAAAAAGTTGAAAACAACTGTCCCTCCAAAGTCACTTTTTTAATGTATCTCAGAGTCATATGCTCTCTAGGGCCCATTCTCCCCTCATTTGGCTTAGGGGAGCAGAGAAAAATGTAATACGTGCCTGCAACTGGATACAATGTGGGTGGTCCTGAAATTCACCCAGAGATCTTCCAACTAAGACCTCCCCAGCAGCCGGGCAGGAAGGGCTTTCCCTGGATGGTCAATACCCTCTCAATAGAGCACCTACATGCCAGCCTCTGGATGTGCCATACCCTTGGACAGTATGCGGGAAAGGACACTGCATCCTAGAACCCACCCTCTAGGGCTTACAGCTCAGTTAGAAAGACAAATAAATGAAAGAGTAAAAGATATGAGTAACACTACATGAAGGAAATGGAAGGCTATCGTGATTTTAACTATTGGACTAAAATTGAAGATGACAAAGGATCGAAGGAAGAAGTATGTGCTCCTGGCTCCACCTCAAGTCAAGTCTGCTGGCTCTGCGTTTCCCTTGCCTCCAACCCCTGTTCCCTCCAAGGACCAATAGGTCAGACGCAGGGTAGCTTGGGTCACATTCTCCCCCCACTTCCAGACCCATGGTGTGGTCTCTGGTCAGCCTCCCAGCCACTGGGGCCCTCCCCACTCTCTGAGATGGAAGTACAGAGGAGAGTCCTCCACCCTCTCTCGGAGACTTCCACTTTCATTCCAGCCCTGACTCAGCACTCACAAGACTCAGAGGGAACTAGAAGTGCCGCTCACCAAAAAGATGTTGGAGCCCCTTCCTGGGACACATCATGGATCAGTGTCTTGCTATTTCCCTAAGTAAGTGCTGAACCTGGTGTCCTCCTAGGGCACTGCCGATTCCCTGAAGTTATATCTTACTAAGAGCCTCTTGAAAGTTGACCTTGACAATGAATCATGAGGTAATACTTGGATTCCAGTCCCAAGTGATGTGATAACCACACCCTCTTGGTGATGATCTATTCCAGTGGTCAACTTGGAGAGATGTAACTTCTGGAGATATTTTTGGTTGTCACAACTGATAGTGGTAGGGGAGTGCTACTGTCATCTAGTGGATAGAGGCTGAGGATGCTGCTAACATCCTATAATGCACAGGATAGCCTCCATCACTGAGAACTAACCAGCCCAAAATATCTGTAGTGTCCAGACTGAGAAACCCAGACCTACTCCTGACTAGCCCAGGCTAGAAAAACCACAGGTCATGACTCCCTGTCATGACTCCCAGCTCCACACATTTTTTAATAGACGTGAGCTTCTTTGGTTATTCTTAAGTCAGTTCCTACAGTCACACCTGGACACAGGGTGCTGGAGAAGGGACCAGAGGTCCCATGGCTGAGTCAATGACTCTCTTCCCTCAGAGGGCTCAGCCTGTGATCTGAATTCTCATCAACGTGACACTCACAAAAAGTATTCTGGCTGCAGTCCAATCTCTTGGGGTGATAAACTTGTAAATGGCATAGATAATGACAAGGGCTCCTCTGTATTTCATTATGTAATTATGATTTTTTTCATTAAAAAATACTAAATAATATCTGCTTGTACTCAATCATTCATTCAATCAACAAATATTTGCTGTGTGCCCACTAGGACCCAGCACCACGCTCTATGCTAGATGAATGGTAATTGTCCAAGTCTACTAACCCAGACCACAGCCGGACTTCTTGATCAGGTGAGATGGAGGGCTGGGAGCTTATTACATTGCAGATGCTTGGATCTCCCTTTAGAGATTCTGACTTTACAAGTCAGGGTGATGCCCAGGAATCTGCATTTTTAGTGAGCACTTGTGGTGACTTCCAACACAGGCTAACTATGGGACCATGTTTTAAGAAATGTTGGTAGAAATCATGAAATCTACCCAACCTCATCCCAGGTCTGAGATTATGAAGACCTGCACTCTAATGTGGTAACGTCCTCTATCCCTGAAAAAGATCATTTAACCATTTAATCAATTAATCATTTAACCATTAACTGTCTCAAGCTTCCATTTTTAAAAGAAGGAGAATAAGACTTGTTCAAACACAGATGGTGAGAGCGTAGAATGACCCCACGTAAATAGAAGCGAGACATTTTCGAAAGGACCAGAACCATAGAAGTTTTACTTCTAAAAACAAATTTTTTATGCCGTACAATAGAATGAGCATTGGCCAAGTACATTGATATCAACAGTAGTTAGGAGAAAAACCTCTGATTATGTAAAATCTCTCATTCTCTGAACCGACCTGCAATGATTCCCAGCTTGGTTAGGGACCACTAATCCTCCCTGGTTACCAAGATAGATGGCTTCTCTGATTACTCTCAATTTTCTTTCAAATTCTTTCTCAGACCTATATCATTAACACTCAGATATGTGACTTTGCAGTGGACCCCTTGCTTTAGTAGCTCATTAACCACTGTTAGAAGCCCAGGTTTAAACCTGTTCCAAGCAAAACTTTTCCAAGCCATTAGAAACACCTTAATACTTATCTATGTCTATTAACAAGGAAGTTATCTCACTATACAAGCATAAGGGCAAAACACAGGGAATCATTTCCAGCCCAACTGCTCTATTCTAAATTACTGGGGTCAATTTAACAGTAGAAGGAACCCATATAAAGAAACTCATGATAACAATTATATAACAGCTTAAAATCAGTGTATCACATGAATGGACCTAGAGATTATCGTACTAAGTGAAGTAAGCCAGAGAAAAAGATAAATATCATATGATATTGCTTATATGTGGTATCTTAAAAAAAAAGATACAAATGAACTTATTTGCAAAACAGAAATAGACTCACAGACATGAATACAAACTTATGGTTACCAAAGGGGAAAGGGTAGGGAAGAAATAAATTAGGAGTTTCAGATTAAAATATACACACTACTATATATAAAATAGATTACCAACAAGGACCTACTGTGTAACGCAGGGAACCATACTCAATATCTTGTCATAACATATAATGGAAGATGATGTAAAAAAATAATATATATGTTTATATACATGTACAATTGAATCACTTTGCTGTACACCTGAAACCAACACAACAGTGAAAATCAACTATATTTCAATAAAAAATTTTTTTAAAAATCAATGTATCACCAACATCATTAATGAGAAGAGGTATGAATTAAAGGCCAGAATATCTCAGAAAACATACCAGAGTCCCCTAAGGTAATTAATCTAAAATGTATTCTGTCCCTTTAATTAAACATGTCTTCGTTATACCTTCAAAGGTCTCTGTATTCCTGTCTTGTCCACACTATTTACTTCTTGCTACAAGTAACACCACCTTATCCCCGAGTCCACAGAGAAGGTCTGGGGACCCAGTGGGCTCACAAAACAGAACACCCTGCATTCCTTTACAGATCAAGCATTTCCAAAGACTCCTACCAAAATCCACTCAAAATACAGATGAGTGTCCAAACAGGAGGGAAATTATCCTTCCATGATAAACAGAGAAAAACTCACCATGTTTTGTGAGATCTGTAGCCTTAGTCCATCCCAAGCACCCCGGATCCCACACACCAGGGAGCTCCATTCCCACCACCTCCAAACAAAAAAGAACCCCTCCCCAGCACTTGGGAACTCTGAGCCAACATATCAGTTTGAGTGTAAATTTTACCCCAAACCCAGCTCTGCCGACAGATTCATTTTTAAGTAGACTATGCTCCCTGCAGACCGACATGCAAATGGTGGGAACTCAAGTATGAGAACCACAAAGGCAGCAAAAAGACGTTGACCATACCTATTTTCCCAGCCTCCCCTCGCAGGTTGAAATCCCAGTTTCTTGGCAACTTCAAGGACATTTTGCTTCTGGTTTGGGCGAGTTGCTGCTGAAGCAGGGAGTCTGCCTCAATTCACGCCCTTCTTGGCTTTTTGATCTTCTTGCCTCACAAGCTTGTGTGTGTGTGTTTTCCCCTTTACGATTGCTTCACAAGCAATCTTGGGTTTGAGGCTGACCTGCCAGCATGTCTTCTCCTTTCTCAGATGAAAGGTCCATCCATCTGTCACCGGGGATGGCACCCAAACCCGCCCACGGTCCCTCAGGGGGCTGGTACCTCGTGAAGTGTGCACCCTGCTTTTCCTGCTTTCAGTATTACCAGAAATATCACAGTTGACACTTCACTCTGCGTCATGGGAAGCAAAGCTCCTGTTCAAAAGAATCTCAGGCCTCACTGAGGCGAGGTCGTGATAAACAACGGCTGCCTCTTGGCTTTTTTTTAACTGTCTACTTCCTTGCATTTGAGGAAGTGGGTGGTTGTTCAGTGTAATGATACATTATAATCTCTTTCTTGAGAAAATGGTTTTTGGAAATGCTTATATAAGTAGAGTGAGTGCTGTTGGGTTATAAGCCTAGAGGTTTGATTAAGAGAAAAAGAAAGAAAATTCTAAGACTCTGGCCATCTACCTCTAAGGCTCCCTTCTCATTGAACAGAGTGGGCTTACAAAAACGGTCAGTAAGACAAAGAGCTTTCCCCCAAAGTCACCTTCGTTTAGGTCACCACTTTCTTCCTGCTATAAGGCCCACAGAGTAAGTTCCCCACCTACTCAGGACAAAGGTTCCAAGTGATCTCAGCCTGATGTCAGGAGGGTTCTGATGTATTTAGCTAATAAGTGAGCTTTAGCTGGGTAGACCCACTTAAGTGTTATAATGGTTCTTTGACCTTGTGTACAGGGTGTGGGTTTGGGAATCAGACTGATATGTGTTCACAACTCAGTTCTTCCACTTCCTAGCTCTGCAGCCTTTAACAAGCAACTGAATCTCTCTAGGCCTCAGTATCCTTAGCAGTAAAATGGGTTGATAATAACCATGACTGCACAGAGTTGTGAAGGCATCTAGTACAGAGCTGGAGGCATAGTGGTTACACCACAAACATCAATTCAACCCTTATTCCATTTAGTTCAGTTCCGTGACAGGCTTTCGTATGTTCAACTGGGCCAGACTAACCTAGTGATTAAGTATTTGGTCCAAGAGCCAGACTGCCTGTGTTCAAATCCTGGCCCAACCACTTTCTTGCTGTGTGACTTTGGATAAGTTTCTTGACTACTCTGTGCTTCAATATTCTCATCTATAAATGAGGCAAATAATAGGACCTACTTCAGAGGGCTATCATGAGGCTTATTAAAGATAGTAGATAATAAGACTAATAAGGCTATAAGGTAATGGGACTAATAAGATAGTAGGTAAGAGTGCTCACAAGAGTCACTACTGGCCAGAATATGAACTACACATCCTTGGTCCAGTCATTCTTCAGCCCTCCTGGATGACTCTGCTATACTTTCTTCTTTGCCTCCATGTACTCACTCTGTTGATGCCCTGGCTTCCTGTTCCATTGAGAAAGTTGATGCAACTGGACGAGAATGTCTGCAAGCTCCCATCACTGTAGCGCCCTCACTTCCATGCATGGAAGCTCACACACTCAATCTTCTCCCAGTTCCGAAGGATAAACTGTGTCATCACTCCTCTATCTTTACTGTTTCATCAGTTTCTTCTCTCTCTTGGATCATTGCCACCAGCATTCACACTTATTCTTTTGTTTTTTGTTTTTTGCTTTTGTTTTTGTTTTTTTTGCGGTACACAGGCCTCTCACCGCCGTGGCCTCTCCCTTTGTGGAGCACAGGCTCCGGACGCGCAGGCCCAGCGGCCATGGCCCACAAGCCCAGCCGCTCCGCGGCATGTGGGACCCTCCCGGACCGGGGCACAAACCCGTGTCCCCCGCATCGGCAGGCGGACTCTCAACCACTGCGCCACCAAGGAAGCCCCACACTTATTCTTTTATATACTATAGTTTAATCATTTCCCCCTTTGGCTACAGCCCCATTTCTCTCCTTCATTTCTGAGCCAAGTTTTCGTAAGAATTGTCTATACTTGCAAACACTTGTCCTACTATTCTCTCCTGAATCTTTTTGGTTGATGTTTTTGCTCCTATGACTCCACCGAATATATTCTGATCAAGGACATCAACCACATCCCTGTCACTGAACCCACTAGTCAATTCCACATGTCATCTCACTTTGACACACTTGATTCCTTTCTCCAAGCCCAAGCCCTCTCTCCACTGGGCTCCCAGGGTTCCTCACTGGTGTGGTTGTCTGCCTGCCATTCTGCTTCATCTCCATCTCCTTGCTGATTCCGTCTCATCTCCCTGACCTCTTAACAGTGAAGGAAACCAGGATTCACTCACTGAACTACTCTTCCATCTATACGCACACCTTGGTGAGCTCATCTGTCTCAAGGCTTTAAAAGCCATGCATCTGCTGATCCATCCAATGTAGATTTTCAGCCCAGACTGCCCCTTGAACCCCAAATCATACACATCTCTGCTTATATAAGAAATAACCACCTCAAACTAAGCTGTCCAAAACTTATATCCGGCTTCCCTGGTGGCGCAGTGGTTGAGAGTCCACCTGCTGATGCGGGGGACACAGGTTTGTGCCCCGGTCCGGGAGGATCCCACATGCCACGGAGCGGCTGGGCCCGTGAGCCATGGCCGCTGGGTCTGCGCATCCAGAGCCTGTGCTCCGCAACGGGAGAGGCCACAACAGTGAGAGGGCCGCGTACCGCAAAACAAAAACAAAAACAAAAACAAAAAAAACTTATATCCGGGGGACCAGACTGAAGGAGCAGGGCTGACCTGAGGCATATTCTTCTCATTGTGAATGAAAGGAGTGTAAGAGGGAAGAACCACATAAGCATATTTAAAGCCTCTGCTCTTATCATATCTGCTCATATTCTAGTGACCAACACACATCACGTGACCAAGTCCAAAGTCAGTGAAACAGGAAGTACACACAACCCGGGGGTGGGGGGTAGGGGGAAAAAGGAGTAAATGTTTGCTGATCAATACTCCATCCGTCACACCAACACGGCTCAGCTACCCTCCAAGCACCCCAGGGGTGCTGGATTCCTCTGAACTTGACTCAGTCAGTTAGAGACTTCAGAGCACCCGCTCGGCATTACTGCCTGCCTGACCCAAACAGCATTTCTCTTTTCTATCCTGACTTGGGGTGGAGGCAAGTGTGGATAGGCATCCTGAGTCCCAGCCCAGCAACATCTCCACAGGGAACTTGACATCATGCAAAGGTTCAATCCTGGGACCTTAAACTCAAGAACTCTGAAAATATCTTGAAGGCAGCATTTAGAAACATGGAGAGAACTTCCCTTACCCTTCAGGGTAGGTTCCTGTAAGTCTTGGGAAAATCTCGTGACTGATGGGGAAGTTGTTAATGAATACTTGGAAAGGCAGCCAGAAGAAAAGCACCCCTGGAAAGGCCCAGCACAGCTGCCTTTCCCTCCGAAAAGCCTGCCCTGGAGCAGTCAGCTGCTTGGGTAGGGGTGACGGGCAGCATCGCTGCAGCTCTGCTCCCCAGTTTCTGACCTTCAGAAAATGAACAACTTTAGATGTCTCGTCTGGTTCCAAAGTTTGAATCAGCATCTGCCATAGCAAAAGGAAAAGCAAACATTCATTCATCTATTTGCTTACTAAATGCTAATCATTAATTAAGGGCTTAATTTTTTTACTGGACTCTGGTGGAATGTTCATGAGCAAGCTGACTTTGTTTCTGCCCCCATTCACCTTACAGTCTGTTGAGAGAGAACAGTTAAGTCAACAATTAAATACTACATGAGAAGGGTATACCGGGGGCAGTTTGGGGAGTATGGGACTTTATCTTGGAGGGGCCTAATTGGGACTTGGGGTTGTGAGGGAAGGCTTTCTGAAGGAAGTGTCTTTTCTATCAAGGCTTCAGGAATAAGTGAGGGAAGCAAAAGCATTGCAGAAGTTTTCCATACGAAACAAACAGCATGCGATAGGCACAGAGGGAAGAAAGACCTCATCAGTTTGCTCCTGAAAAGGATGAAAGGGGAGGGATGAAGGAGAGACGAAGCTGGAGAGGGAGACCAGGGCTGGATCGTGGTGGATCCCTGGGAAAAGTTTTGACTTTACACCAGAGGAAACAGAAGCTACTGGGGAGTTTTTATTAGGGCAAGGCTGCAGAGGCTGTGGCAGACGTGCGGGTGAGAGTGAGAGCCGGGGAGACGTCAATGGCCGCGTTCAGGGAAAGAAGGGAGAACAAGGCAAAAGCCATCCAGGTGGTAGGATTGATGGCCCCGGGGAGTTTCTATGGGAGAAAAAGATGCCCACGGTCCTGGCCCCAGTGCCTGCAGAGATGGAGGCTCCAATCACAGAGATGGAGTGTCGACCGGAAGAGTGAGAGTTACTAATGAGGAGGGAGAGTCAAGGTACCTCAAGGAGAAGGTGGTGGGCTCTGTCAGTCCAGGGGAGGTTGCATTTAGAGAGCTGCGGGATGCTCAATGCAGATGTCCTGCAGCTGTGGGAACCCAGAGCTCACGTTCATTCGTTCCCTCATTCACTCCATAAACATTCATCCAGGACTGTGCTGGATGGATGTTGAGTAAACAGGATGATTAAGAACCTGGCCTAATCCTCAAATGACTCAGGAGAGAGAAGTGTAAACATAACGGCAGTGCCATTGGAGACAAAAAAAAAAATAGTGTACGCACTGAGTAGGGTGGAACAGGAAATGTGAGCTCTGCTTGGGTGGCCAGGGAAGGCTTCCCAGGAAAGGTGACCCAGGAAAGAGCAGGCAGGCAGGAAGCATAGTGAGGGAGCCTGGCATATGGCTACGGCTACGGGGTAAGGTTGGAAGAGGGGGAGACGGACAGATGGGCCGAGGGGGCAGGGCCGCTGGGCCAGGGCCTCAGGCACTGGCTGACGGCTTGGACTCCACTCTGAGATGACAGTCATTGGAGGACTTCGTATACATTCCTTTTATTGTTGTTTTTACCATTATAGAAGTCTATGCAAGTTTTAAGTATGTATAAAGAAAATAAAAGTCACGGTTACCATTTAAGATGTAAAGAAAAATTTTCTCCTTCTCAGCCTCCTC